GTGTTTTTGCCCTGAGTCTTTTTATGTTGAACAGACCACCATCGTATCTGTATCTTATGTCCATTCCTCTTTCCTGCAGTTTACTCTCCACTAGAATAGAGAGCGCTGCCATAAATACGTTGAATAGAAGAGGCGCTAAGACATATCCCTGCCTAATCTAATCCAATATTCGCTAGATAAAAAACAAAAAAGGGTAAATTGGATATGGATGATTGAATAAAATCTCATACATACCTATAGGTAGAGTCTGCTTAACGAGCCAGGGAAAATTTCGACAGACGACATCGAAAACGTCACTAATTGTATTTAGTGACGTTACCTATGAGTTTAAATAACAGACAACAACAATGACTGTCTTAAAAGATATATAGACAAGTGACAACGAACAGCTATTTAAAGAATCCAAAAAATTGGTAATTGACTGGTTAAATATGACCTAAAAATTGTTGAAATTTTCACTTTATCTAGGCAATTGGATACACTTGCCATCGTTTTTCGACGGAATGGATCGACACCATCAGCGTCACTTTACCCGGGCCGCTGCAAGACAACAAAAACAGAAGAGCGAACAACACGGCCTGGCGGACGCGAGGGGAACCAGAACTATTGTAGTAGTGCTAGTAGTAGTAGCAGGGCCGACGATGTCGCGGACAAGGACGGAAATACGGGCCGACCGCTGCGAAGGACTCGCATTAAGCAGGAGAGAAAGAGAGAGAGAGACGGGCGAGAACGCGGGCTGAAAGAGAGACAAAATCAGTTCTCGTCTCTTATCTGGTCCTAATGTAAAGTGTCGCCTTTTATCCTGAAAGTAAATGGGCGGCTACGACCGCTGCGGCGGCGGCGGCATCGCCAAAAGGGTGGCGCGGGGAGGGGACGGAGGGCCGTGTGACGGCCGCTCGTCAAGTCCACGTGGACTGCCAGGACCGTATCGAAAATTTCTGTGATTGCCTATATTTAAAATAAAGGGTTTTAATTCCATAGTTCGGATCAGTAAGGATGAGCAAATGTATATGACCAAGACTCTTTTGTCTTGGTCTTGTAGTTTAATAGGTAGGTAGTCTTAGGCATGATTTTGGTTTTGCAGGCAATACAATAAACATTATTTATTATTATAATTATTATTATATATTATTACATAGTGATCGAAACACATCACCACTTTTTAATAGACATGTATTCGATGACATCTATCTGAAACGGAGACATATAAAGTACCTACTGCAAAATCGGTAAAATTTTATAAAAAACATATTGTTGTGTTTGTAGTTGTTCTGAAAATTAACCGTTTTATTTTATGTGGTCTTAGTCTCATCTGTATCTACAATAAATTAATAATATGATACTTGGTAATTGGTAATACGGTTTGGTTTGGTACAAGAAAATTAATATTGACATTTAAAAAAAGGTACTTAAATTGAATTCTGGTCGTCTTGATTTGAGGGTAATTACATTGATTTAAGTCATTTTACTGACTTAACTTGCAGATCATCATTATTTAAGTCGAAAATATAGACTTAAGTCATAAAAATAACTTAAATAACGTTATATTGATTTAAGTCTCTACAAAAATGATTTGACTTGAAATAAAATGATTTAAGTCAAAGACTCAAGACTTAATCATTTGTACTTTATGTTAAATTTGACTTAAGACCTAAATCATTTTGATTTTAGAAATGACTGAAGACTTAAGTCTTTTTAAAACTGACTTGTTGCCAGCTCTGGTAGGCGTTTATCTTTTTCTTCTTCGTCAGATGGTTCTAGTAATTGCAGCGACTAGAAGTGCTTGGAAGTCCTGTATGCCTGTCCAATGACGAATATTTTTCAACCAAGATAGCTTCCTTTGGCCTATTCTCCTTTTACCTCCTTTGATTTTACCCTAGAGATTTAGGCGCTGAAAGAAACAGCGTTCTCCATGTAGTATGTGCCTCAAGTAGGCTACCCCGTGTAATTGCTAACTTTATATTTCGTAAACAGTAAAACTTAAAAAAAGTTACATATCAATTTGGTAGTTTTTTTATGCTCTTTAATTTTAAAAACTTTTCGATAGTAAAAAAATGGTTTCACACGGAAAAATGTAAAAAACTGCAACCCCGTCGGTTTTAGAGGTTTGTTACTTAGAGATGAAAATGTAGAGAATGGGCTCTTTCACTATATTTTGGAATTAGCATAATTGAATAAAGCAATTGATTCTAGAATTTTCTACTATCTTACTTTCGAAAAATTTGAAGTCGTTCTTAAGAAAATAAATAAAAACAAAAAAGCCCAGAATAAAAATCCGCACTTTATTTTTAATACGTCACACCTGGCATTTTGAAAAGCGGCAACACGGCCGGACCACCATGCTGACCCACCACCACCTCCACACAAGGCCATTCAACCTTTTCCAATATGGCGGAGATATAAGTGCTTTATTTGGCGCGTATTTTAAAACCTGTTTTATTTCCAAATAGACATTTTTCACACAAATGTCGGTTTAGATTACGTAATATTTCACTAATTTTTTAATATACAGGGAGTCTAAAGCTCTTCACATAAGTATGAAATTTTTTGTATTATTACTTTTATGAAAACATCAGTTAGTTACTTTTTATAAAAAGGTCTGCTTTCTCAGAAAGCAGGTAGGTAGTGTTAAAATATTCAAACTTGAGGTAGCATATATAGGGTGTTCAAAATCATCGGAAAAAGAAATAACCAGAAATATATGACAGAAAATAGCAATATAAACTAAATATTCAATTGCAAACACTTACCTACCATAGTTTAGAACTTACTGCACGTTTGATAAATATATACTATTATGGACAGTATAGGAAGTTACTTGTCTTAGTAAAAGCCTTGGTAAATGCTCTTGGAATTATAAACTACACTGGCTTGGGTCAAAAAATATAGAATATTTTTCCTATGTTTTGCAGCATTACACAAATGGGAATAAATTTAAACTATAATAGGTGAGGATAACTAAAAAATATAATATGTGTTTCAAGATTTTATATGGAAAAAAAACTAAATACCTTTTGGGGGTTCGTAAGTAAAACTTACGGCTTAGCTTAGTTTTCTTTACTCTTTCTCTTTACATAGGGCATTGTCTTTGTGGTAAAGACGTCATACCTTTTTTTGCATAGTTCTTCAATAAAATATTGGATATTCTGAACAAGATGGATTTAATAATAAATTCTGACGTATGTGAGGGGCAATAGTGATCTAAAAAGACTTATATCCAGGCCATTTATATTTTCAAATGTGAATGTTGTCAATATCTTTCTGTGATCTTATAGTGAGGTAAGTGTAAGCAGTAGCCATAACTACATCCTCACTAGGGTAACAGAGAATTTGGCCTTTGACCTTTTTGAGGCATATTTAATGCACTTCTTACCTGAGAACTACTAGTAGGAGTGAAATTATCTCTTTTAATAGCTGTCAACCATTCACCAAACCAAACCAAACCAAACCTTGGGACCTTCTCTATAATTCTCGTGACAATTTGGAACAGATCATGTTTTAAGATATGCTACAATAAAATGTTAGTACCTACACTTTAATACCTATCTTTTGATTATTGTAAGTAACCATTATAAAGTACTATGCAGACTGGCGGTGAAGGCTTTTTACTCATTTAGGTGTAATATTTTGATAAATACTTCTAGTTCTTACTTTAAAATAATTAATAATAGAGGAGTACGATAAGCACAAAAGTTTGAAGTTCCCTACGTGGAATGTCTGGTTTGGATTTTTATTACACTGTTATTTTATCACAATTTTCTGATCACACCATGCACTGAACACTAAGAACTAAACAAGCGTGTTGCAGAAGCACAACAAACTAGATAATTAATTATCTCTATTTTTGGTATGCAATCGGAACGAGAAACCACTACCGGGTTTTCAGGTTAAAGGTAAACAATTTAATAATGCGCTGCCTTTGCCGCCATATTTGCCTTGCCCATATCATGTTGATTGGCCTTGAGATGAGGTGGTGCTGGTCAAATCAAATCGCAATGTTGCCAGTTGTTGGCTGGCGCACGAGCACGGTTCTGCAATGTGATTGGGCGTATTTTTCATACGTCATCAATTGGCACTTTAAAATTATTTCAAAACAGCAATTGTGAGGGCCTATAAAAAAATTATTCAATATCATGGAACTATTTTGTTTTGAATAAATATACTGAAAATAGTCTTCTATTTCAGATTTTGTCCTTGAATTGGGTATTTTATTCTTTGTGAAAGAGCCCATTTAATCCGTTCCATACAATTTTCTCTGGGATCTACGGTTCAGCCAGAAAATCGAATCCAAAGTTTTGTTGAGTTTTTTAGAAACGGTGGGGTGGAGGGATACGAATTTTCAAATTTAAGCTTTTCCAGTAGATCACTTACGACTGGCAAAGTATGAAAGTTGTAGGTCCCAGATTGACTGTACTAGTGAAAAGGGCTGAAGGAAGGTGTATCATGTATCACCGAATGATGACAGCAGGAACACAATAATATCAATCAGCACAACGACTAAACTAAACACATTGATGCTACTACAAGAAGAATATGTAGGGGAAGCCCGGGCAAAGTGAACACCTCGGGCAAAGCGAATATCCCCCACTATTCTCAAACTATTCGTTTGGCATCAATCACGTGACATAGCAACGCTCGTCTGTCTTTGCTCAATACGCGGCAAACACCTAAGTGGGAGAGCAGGCCACGCGGCGTCCGCAGAACGGCAAACTGTGTTTTCGAAAAATAATTTCTAATATTTCGAGGTAAGTATTTTGATGATATTTTCTATATTATTTGTTTATTACTATTGGGCGTATTACAGTTCTATTACGTGTCAAAGAGCTTTATTATAATATGTCGAACGGAGAATTGAAATCAATAGTTTTCTTATGAATTGACTTAACCTTAAAATGGTTGTGCTGGGCAAAGTGAATAGGGCAAAGCGGATATGGTATCCACTTTGCCCGGTTTTTACGATTATTTAGTTTCGGTATTACAAAGCTCATATTTTGTTGCAGATGGTGCATAAATATAAAAAAAAGACTAATCAAGGCTCTTGGGATAAAGATGTTATGCGGACGGCTATAAATTTATGCAAAGCCGGAGAATCGGTGAAGGGCACAGCTAAGAAATATGGTATGGCTTATGCGACTTTGTACAGACACGTCAAAAGTGGTAACGTTACTCCAAAACTCGGCAGATTCCGCCCAGTTTTCAGCGAAGATCAGGAAATAGAGTTAAGGACCTATCTCAAAGACATGGATTCCGTGTTTTTTGGATTAACTCGAGATGAGTTTAAGAATTTAACATATACCTACGCCAAAAAAAATAATTTGAATTATCCAAAAAGTTGGGACAAGTATGAAAAAGCCGGAGATGATTGGCTACAATCATTTTTGTCACGTCACAATGCCATTACTCTCAGGACTCCGGAGGCAACATCGGTTGCAAGAGCGAAAGGATTCAACAGACATGAAGTCGGACGTTTCTATGATAATCTTGAATCTTTGATTGACAAATACAATATTGACGCATCTAGATTTTATAATATGGACGAAACCGGTATTTCGACGACAACTAACAAACCCCCTAAAGTACTATCAATAAAAGGAAAGAAACAGGTAGGCATAATTGCAAGTGCGGAGCGTGGCCAATTAACGACAATGATCGGTTGTTGCAATGCCATTGGTTCATTTTTACCGCCCTTCCTTATTTTCGCCAGAAAGAAGATGCAGTCTAGGCTACTCGACGGTGCTCCTCCCGGGACTCAAGGTACTTGTACACCAAATGGTTGGACTTCAGGTGAGGTATTTCTTGCTTGGTTGCATTTCTTTGTAGAATATACACGACCTAACGCCGACAAAAAGGTACTTTTACTTTTGGACAACCATGAGAGCCACAAATACTATCCTGCATTGGAATATGCAAGTAAGAATAATGTCATAATTTTATCCCTGGCCCCGCATACTACTCATAAAATGCAGCCTATGGATGTGGCCGTTTACGGCCCACTAAAAACCTACTTTGAAAGAGAGGTTAATATGTTCCAAAAGGCTCATCCTGGGCGCATTATAAATCAATACGACGTAGCCAGACTGTTATCACCAGCCTTTCTGAAAAGTTCAGTAGCCATAAATGCAGTTCATGGATTTGAACGGCCTGGCATTTGGCCAGTAAACAAACACGTTTTTGGTGAAGAACACTTTGAACCAGCGGATGTGATTGCAGGCAGATCAGATATGAATATTAGCCGAGTAAGCATACATTCCTTACAAACAATAGAAATTCCTGATACCGCTGCAGAAGCCTCATCAACTCCTTTGCCCTCACATTTACAAGAAAAGATTTTAACAGTTGATCCTCCAGGAGAAATGATTCCGCTTTCAGACAAACCCACAAAGAGCGACTCATCTAAGCCTCAACTTCAAGAAAGGACCCCAGAAAAAAATAATGTTCAGAGTGACATTGCCATTACACTAGAACCAGGAACAGAGTCACTTAAAGTTTCTTCTACTTTGGAACCGAATGCGACAAGTATTCCTGTTGTACATTCTCTAAAAGGTGATGCAATGGTACCAGAGACTTCAAAAAATATTCGCAGAAATAACGACCGTGACGACCCTCCACCGAATCCGGAACCTGGATGTTCAAACTTGCACCAGAGTCCCATATCATTAAGACCAATACCAAATCCTTATAAACCACTGACAACTCGTAAACGCAAATTTCAAAAATCAGAAGTTTTAACTAGTACTCCTATCAAATAAGAGCAAAAGCAAAAATTTGAAAAAAATATAGTAAAGAATATTACTAAAAAACTAAATGTAGAATTAAACAAATTTCATAGAAAGACTGCTAAAAACCCTGTTAAAAAAGGTAAACAACCAAAGAAAATTAGGAAATTTGAAGATATTGTATGTTTTTTTTTGCGGTGAAATATATATTGAAGAAGATGATTTTCCAATTGAAGATTGGATTCGCTGTGGTCGGTATTTCCAATGGTGTTACGAAGAATGTTCCGCTTCGAAGGCATAGGAGATTATATTTGTGATAACTGTCAGTCTTAATTTTTAAGATATTTCATTTAAATGCGAATTTAAGATTTTGTTCAGTTTATTGATTTTGCTTTATTATTTTTTCCTGTAATTAGATGAAGGTACTCACTTTGCCCGAACACCATATCCACTTTACCCGGGGGTCCGGGCAAAGTGAATATTATCACACTTTTTTTAATTTTGTTTATGTTTACTAAATACTTTACTTATAAAGTTAAATAATTATAATATATATAAAAGCAATTAATAAAGAATTATTTCAGATATTTGTTTTGTTTCTATCTCTTACACCTTTTCTGATAAAAGAGTGAACATCTTAAGCTATTCACTTTGCCCGGACTTCCCCTAAGGAAGGTTTTACCCTAATTGACATTAGAATAAAATGAAAAGAATAAGGTTGATATTATAACGTAAGCGTTTGTGACTGTAGTGGAGAAGTTCCATCATGCGATACAATCTTATTTACACACAACCCAAATATGATGATATACAAAATATATATTTTATTGTAACATTCGTTTAGTTGAAAGAAAAAAAACTTATAAATCCTTTCCAATATTTATTTTTGTTCTTTCCATTTGTTTGTTAATTTATTCAACAAATTATTGTTAACATCATAAAATACAAACGATTAATTAGCTGCGCCTTTCCCAACGTTATTTAAACTATCAATTAGACGTGCCATAAACGGTAGAAACAATTTGGCGTCTATAGACTTTCCTAATTTTTTCTATCGGCGATAATAGAAGGAATAATGTACAGACAGAAGCGGGGAACTATAATCGTTAAATAAACTGACTAAAAGCGTGAAAATATCGAGGGTGTCACTTGTTTAAAGAGTCCAAACAGCACGTTCTAAGAAGATTGGAAAAGTTTCGTTGTTTGTCAATTGATGGTAGAAAGGAACGGTGGCGTCACGGCTGTTTTTAGTTATATTTTCTGTATTAAAAGTTTCCTCTAGTGAATATTGACAAGTTAGTTAGAAAAAATTAATTTTTTCTAACTAACTTGTCAATATTCACTAACTAACTTGTCAAGAGATATGATACACAACAGACTGAGTAATCCCATCAAAAATATAGAATGTAAAACAGCGGCGTGCGGTGACAATTATAGGCAGGGAAGCGAATCGGTAAAAACCCCTATTTCGAGACATTACTTTTACATTTTCTTAAAAAAATAACCTAGTTATATAGTCTTCTCTCACTTATATTAAAAAGTAAACAGGGCCAACAAAATAATTTGGATAATTTATTGCTGTCGGTTAACCACTCATATTTGTCGTAAAACCCAACATGAAAATCTAGTGATTTTTTTTACCGACTTCTCCACTCTGGTCTCTAAATTAATAGGAACCAGACTATTGGCCTACCAGACTTAATAATGTCACTTTTTTCTTGGAAGTTCCGACTAGAAAATCCCTTTTTAATAACAACACAAACACAGTCTAAATTATGGTCCACACTAGCAGAAGAAGAAGATTGTCCTTCTTGACCCTCCATTACAAACGAAACAGTAAACACTAAGTTAAATCCGAAAAAAATACAATATTACCTATAAAATCGCAAGCGAACCCGTCCCGATAAATTAAAAGTCGAGGAAGGCGGCCGAAGGATCGCTGCCGTGGCTAGCAATTGTGCGTGATTTTCCGACATAAATTTGTCGTTTGCGTTCGAGGTCAATAACACCTACATAAAGGTGGGATAGGCGACCGGCGGCGATTTCCAGACGCGCATCCATGCAGTAAAAGGCTAATTAAATTTACTACGTTTATGTAAGGTTTAAAATAAATAATTTTAACAAATTAAATTAATATTTTGTTATAAAATAACAGTATTATTAACGTTTAACTATTTATTTTTTTTATCTTTAAAAAGTTTAGAGAAGCGGTGCTTCCCTCGCTTCCATGAACCGCACGCCGCTGATGTAAAAGAATCTCTCTGTCTCGCAACACAATTCTTCCACTATAAAAAATTGTGAGATTTCATGTAAAACCAAGTCAGTTTATTTCATTTAGTCCCTCTTTAAGCACCAATTCAACAGTTTTGTTATGAATTGTTAGTATCAATATTAGTCATCTTTATTTCTGTAATAATTATAATGACTTGGCAATTATATAATATATTATAAAAGATTATAAAAGAATAGATAATCTACCATCTCGATTACTCAGTAAATCTAAAAGTGCCCTTAAAAATAAAGTTTTTTAATTAGAATAGAATATCATATCGCACAATTGCCAAGTCATTATAATTATTACAGAAATAAAGATGACTAATATTGATACTAACAATTTATAACAAAATTGTTGAATAGGTGCTTAAAGAGAGAATAAATAAAATAAAATTACTTAGTTTTACATGAGATCTCACAACTTTTTATAGTGGAAAAATTGTGTTGCGAGAGTTAGCATTTTTTTACATTCTATGTTTTTGGTGGGGGATCTCATTTCTTTTTGTAGGTTATCCTCCTATTTTTTTTATCATTTAAAATAATATTAAAGAAATAAAATAACCAAAGATATTTAAACTCGGGAGATACAATGATCCATTCATAACACGCTCTAAAGCTTCATCACACATTGGTTTGCGAAAATCAACGAGTGCCAGAGAGAATGGATAGAGAAGGAAATAGGGGTATCTGCTCGATGGCAACAATGTAGTTGTGTACAAAGATTAGACGTTTGAGGTCAATTTCCAGTGGCGTGCCTATCGACCGACAGTATTTTAAGGAAATTATAATAATTGTTTAATAAATTAAAATAAAATAATAATAAAACTTACATCTTACATATTTGTCGCATTGTAAAAAAAATAACTTGAGGGAGGATAGCGAAATAAAATAAAAACCGGCATAATTTTTTACTATAAGATGGCTTTTCACATAAGAATAACGATTAAAAAATTAATAAGCGTTTTTTACTTTATTTTATTAAATAAAATATCAAATTTTAGGTGTATTAGTAAATGCAGTTTCAATATCTTGTTCCAAACCTTGTTCGTCTCCGGCGAATGAGATTCCCTCTATTAGCAATAACAAAATAAAATAGTTATTTTAACCTAATAATACAATATTTTATATATAAAATAATAAAAACTTTATTATTATATATATGAATTTTACAACTACAATAAAAAACAGTGAATAAAATTTAAAATGTGCCTTATAATTTTTATTAGTTCACAATTGTTCATTAATGAGGGAATAAGAAGTAAGAAAATTCAACATTTATTTACCTTAACTTTCATTTTAGGGATGTTTCAAACACAGTAAATCAGAACTGAAAATATAAGATGTATATTATATCGTATGATCGAATAAAAACGGCGTCAGCGATGACTATGAAATGAAGATCGCTGTCATTTTATATGTAAATTTATATAGGAAATGCCATCGATCGTCATTTCCAAGCCAACTGAATGCCGTTTTTATTCGATCATACGGTATGTGTATATCTAAACAAAATTATTTGATGTTATAATACACAGTCATCAGAAAAGTCTAGCGATAATTTTACAAAATCATAAATAAAATAAAATGGTGATTGTTTAGTAAACGGTTCTTAGTTTAAAAAAAATATTTTTTTCCCTTGTTGGCAAAGGAAAATTCATATTGTTTATAAATAATAAAAAGTTTCAATACAATAAAATGTAAGAAAGTCATAAAATTCATGTAATAAGAACATTAATTATATGTATGTCAAAAGATGTCCATTTACATTATAGCAACCAAAATTTAAAACAAAAGCCGTATAAAATTGTAACGGCAACAAAAAAGTAAGGCCGCAAAATTCCATCTTTGGTACACCCCAATAAAATTTTCACAAAAGGTAGGTAATCGTTTGTCAAACCCAAGTAGGTATCTAGATTAGATTTATTCTTATAAGAAAGTACGGTTTTTCGAAAATAGATGTTGTTTATAAATTACAGGCGGTTTATAGAACTTAAATTTAATTTTCAACATTCAATACCCTTTCTTAAAAGGGAAACAGAAATTGTTATTAACTTATTGGTAATTAGTATATACCATGTACCTTTTTCCTACAAATAATTTAATTAATAAATATATAATTTAAAAAACATAATTAATATATGATTTAAAAAATAAACCTAAAAATATAATTTAGAGATCTGCTATTTTTTATGTCTAGGTACGCCTCTGATCTACAGAGAATAGGATATAGTAATGTTACGGATTCCGTGGGTCCACTAATTTAAACTCACGATAAAATACTTAACGAATTTATTTTTAAAAAGTCTTTTAATTTCTGGCGGATACGTTGCGGTTGTGCAGGCAACCAGTAATACATTTTTAATTTCTGGCGGATACGCCATTTTTCTTGACAGTAATATATCTAACCCTATTATTTTATTATTTGTATTTACCGGTGAAAAGTTAAATTTGGATTTAAATGATACACTCACTTGTACACAATACATGAATGCACCATATTTTCAAAATAATGTCCACAGAAGTCCACAAAATAACGCAAAAATACTACAATACTGCTAAATAAAGAATATAGAGCTTGATCGGCGGCATAGCAACATCGCAAAAGGAGAATCTAGGATCTTCCATTCATCCTCGAAATACGTTGTACCTTTGGTTGTACTACGCCGGCATATTTCTAAAACTGACGTTGCCAAACTGCTTTTTATCATTAAAAGAAACACGACCATGATATTTTTATTCCATTATAAAATTTAAAATAG